GAGGGGGACCTTCTGAATAGCTCAGTAGAGTCAGAACATGGATCCATTGGTCTTTTGATACTATGTAAGTTGTTGGAGATCTCTCAGTGCTGCTTGCTGCAGATGCCAGGAATAGATCCTGGGACAAAGTGAACGTGGATTCTTCCCCTTAGGGTGCATTTGAATGCAACATTCATCATGCAGGGCATGCCTTTTAAAATTACCTCGAGAAAAAGTAATAGTATCAAAACAAAGTATGAGAATCAAGCATAAGAGAATCTTAATTTGTCTAATCAGTCTGTGGTTGATGAGGCAATCTGTTACGGGTAGCTTGGACCTGTAATGTTTGGATGATGGAAGGGGTTATGATTAAGATTAAGATTACAGTGCTTCAAACAGGTTCATTAAATCCAGTTGACTTTAGTAGAATTCAAGCAGACAAACTGGGAATCCTGCTAAAGAATAGTGGAGAAAGTGGTGGCTTGTTTTATTGGGGAAGTGTTTGCATTATCTTGATCAATGTTGGCTCCAGGTTTGTAAGGAACCTTGGGCAAGAGGTTTCAAGGGCATTAAGAGAAGGCTCAGCCATGGACAGGTGTCACAAGGCTTCTATCACCCACATCCCAGTTTTGTACCTGTGATCAGGAGAGGATGTAGGTTAGGTCATGATGGTCATGAGGTTGTAGGTCGTGATGATACTGGCATGCCACAGGAATTCCCACAATATCACAGCCTCAGATTACCAGAACAGGCGATGCCCCTTTAAAGGCTCAGTCAGAAGGAAGGTGGGCCAATCTGAATCCAGCTACACAATTCTTTAAGCCTTAGTCTTTCTTTGCTCCATGCTGGAGCAAAATGTATTCAAGCCCACTACCACTTAGAACGTTCTGTTGTGTTCACTGTGTGGATCTATTCCTAGCCTTGTTCCTGAACCCTGACCTTGCAGTCTGGAAAAGAAAAAACAATATATAGAGAGAGATGCATGCTGCAGCCATGTCCCGACCAACACATCAGCTATGCTAAGCCTTAAGCAGAGTAGTGGCAGAACAAAAGACTCAGTGCCCCTCCCCTGCCAGTCGGTTGACCATCTTACCACCATTGTCACTTGCTCTCATCATTGCAATCACTTGCCTTGGTTGGTGGAGAGCCAGTGAGCAAGGAAGTAGTGGCATTTATCAATGCTCCTCCTCACCATTTTCACTGTATGGGGCAGACTGAGAGGCAGAGAAACAAGCTGGTTGCAACAATATAAAATCTATTAAATAGATGGGGTGTAGTTATTGATAGAAAAGTGAGGTATAAATCAATCACAGAAATAAAACAGTAAAGAGGAGGAGCAACTCAAAGGTCTTTGCCAGCAGGCCCCTGTTCAGGTATCCACCCATACCTAGTATCACTACTGTCCTTGATCTTACATTCCCTTATATTCTTTTTATAAAACGTTTAAAATTATAACCAGCCAGAAATCCCTTTTCTTTAAATAAGCAGCCAAACTATTGGGGTCTCTCTTTTTCACTTTTCCATCTCTTGGAAATGCAAGCAAAAGAGAAGGGCTCCTGGCAACCAACCATCCAGATAAATATGCCAGACTCCTTACAGACAGAATTGTTTAGAGAAGTGCTTTGGCTATTAAAATGTTGGTCTTAAATATAGCAGAAACTATAGGAGAAGTATATTCATCATATAGAATTTGTTGTTGTGTGCATACAGAAGGAATGTATGTATGTATGTATATGTGTGTGTGTGTGTGTGTATATATATATATTCATTCCCCAAGGCTGATATAACAAACTATATGACAGATGGGTCAAGTCCTGATTTGCAGTACTCTAACATTTGGAACAGCAAAGTAACATATTTGATAGAACTGGCAAGTTTTTATATATGATTCAACCCAGAATATAAAAGCCACTAGAATTCCAAGTGGAAAATAATGAGCTGGAAACAATCAGAAACCACACATTTTTGGGAAAAAGTGAGAGATTTGAATACATATTTAAATTGCACAAGGAATGCTGTATAACTATCTTTTATTCCAAGATGGTGTCATATTTTTTTTTGTAAAATGCTATCATCTTTGCAAAGCAATTCATTATTCTGCCTTTTCAATTAATAAAGCTAATAATATCTAGACAAAAACTACATTAGGCAATATTTCTTGGTACTATACGAGTTAAAAGGCAGGCAAAGCTATTTCACATTTGACACATGTGGATGAAAGGTTTTATAAAGCAGCAGCAGCAGCAGCAACAGCAACAACAAATTGTACTAAAATCCTGCTTTTTGCACTTGGCTACATGAAATAACAATTAGCATTCACACTGAATTTTAAGCATCCTAGATTGTGAATTCTCATAGCATAGTGGAATCTGTCAACTTTAGAAAAAAATGTTTGTTGTCATAATTGTGTAGTACTTGAGTTGACGATAAGCAAAACAGCAGCTATTCCATTTGTACTTTTATCCTTTCTGCTTACTTTTTGTTCAAAGTTTTCATCTTTTGTGTCACTGTTTATGAAGTCATGTGTGTCTTTACTTTTGCTGTCTCTCTACGTCATTCACAAACAGCTCGATCTTCAGTGCCCAAGCCCCCAGCTGGGCCCACTTCATCCATGCAAACGCAGACTAACATGATAAATCAGATGCTGAAAGGCATACCTAAGCAAACACCAAGTACCGTAATAGTTTTCCTTGCTTTTCTTTCAGAATTTTCTAGTTTAGCCTTTCTCTTATTTTCCTGTAGTTTAGTTTTTAGGAAGCTAGTCTCAAGCATAGGCTTTTAATCCAGAAATTCCTAGTGCAACGCTTCTAGATATAGCATTAGTTTCAAAATGTCCACATTTTTTGTCTAGCAATGTCTGACATATCCAACATTTTCAAATATCAACGTCAGCACAAAATAACATTGTTGTTGCATAACATTTTGCATGGGATATGTGAATCTGTATGATTTACAGGATGTATGAAAATATCGATACATATGTTGTTGCATTGACCAGTACTCCAGCTTTTTGCATATAAAATGATTCACTAATATTGTAGAATTTTTCCCCTACTCCCAAAAGTTGTTGTAAAGCAAATAACACTTAAGAGAGATCTACATTTTAGCTTAGAGACAGATTACTGCAGAAAGGCTTGTTAAATATTTGCATTTTGGCCTCTCTGCAAGTATGATGTGAGTGGATGTAACATCATACCAATGCTAACCAAAGGCTTGTAATATCCGATTGTTATTGTAACAATTGGCAGATCACTCTCTGTCAGAACTTTTAAGGTCGCCTTCTTTCCTGCCAATACTATTCCTTTCTTGGCCTGCATACAAAGTTTTCCATTGAAAAAAGTAATATTATTTATAGCAGAAAAACTTGCAAATTATATTATTGTAGTCTGAGTCAGAAAAGTCATTTCACAATAATGACTTCAGTCACCATAAACTTAGATCCATAACTTGAATTTCCAAATTGGAATAAATTACATAATGTACCATTTTATCATATACATTTAATAGTAACTACATGTTCAACTGCAGCTTTACAAACTATTCAGAAGCACTGGAACTTTTAATAGAATAATTTATAAAAGTTCTGATTTAACATAGATCTTAGAGCTTCAGTCCTCTATCCAGTTACTTGGGAATAAGCCACATTGAATTCAATGTGACAGGGACTTGAATTGTCACATTGACTCAGAAATGAGTTGACTTACACAGGACCGCACTGTCACACCTATGGGTTTGGGTAAGGGAATGGCCATGGAGGAGCTATCATGACTCCTTATGCCCTGTCAGGCTTCTCCTCGGAGTAGGAGAGGGGAAAATTAATTTTCCCCCATTAATTCCTGTTCAGGGGTGCCAGTAAAAGATTTGATAGTCTTTCACAAACATTTTGAGCTGCCACTCTTGCTCAAAACATGCTGACTGCTAAAAATCAAGCATAATAGTAGTTGAAGTTTCAAAATCCTAAGAGTTCTGCTTTACCTTTCCATAGAAAGAGTTCCATAGAACCAGAGGAAAAAGGTTTGATTCCCCTCACCATGATCATGCAGAACTGCAGTGGATGAAATTATTTGTGCCTCTAAAAATACATTACTGACAAGGCACAAGCTTTGGGTAAAGAATTGTGCTTTACATCCTTTATGCCTGATCTCAAATATAATAGGAAAGCTTAAGAAATTTTTATATTTGTGAACTCTGAACTGACCCACACTTCCTGGACCAATGCACAGGACAGTACTGAGTTATATTCAGACTGTGATCACACAGTTCTTTGCTCAAGAAAAAGGATTAAAATATGTTTTTAAATGCATATTTTGAGGGAAATATGCATAGAAGGTTTTTAAAGGAAAAATATATAAATATGTATTTACATATACATTTTTGTACAGGTTTTTTTAACGTTTGAAGATTAATGGACTGAAATAATTCATGGGTGAACGATTCATTCACCCCTTATATATCATTGCATTAGCATTTGGTTTTGGAGGCTGTGAACCAAGGGTTTACCTCTTTGAACTCTCTTCCTGCTCTTGAAAATTTAAATTAAATACAGTATAACCCTCTGGGATAAATTCACTTAAATCCAGTGCTCCAACATCATAATCATCTTATATAACATACAAAACTGTAACGCTGTTTAAGATCCATAGAACAAGCATATGTATCCATAAACTGTGAAATCAAATGTTCTCCATGCAGATAATACCAAGATGCTGTCTCTAGGAAATGTAAATTTCTCAGATCCATCTAGTTACATGCTAGCCATCATCTAAAGTGCAAAGTAAAACAATTTTTACCACATATTTAAATTCAGAGCTGGAGCACTGTTTTCATGGTATAACAACAAACGTGGCTTTATGGTTTGCTCAGTACTAACTACATAGCATTTTAACCCTTGCATGATGTAGATTTTAAAATTACAATTATGAATTGTTTTGTTGATGCTTTTAATTAACCACCTAATCTGTTGGCCTTGCATTGAGCCTATCCTATCTCACTCCATTTTAATTGAAGTTCTTGTACTACAGAAAATGTAGGTCGGTTAGTCACACCTGCCAAAAAGCTAGAAGATACAATTCGCTTGGCGGAACTGGTAATTGAAGTTCTACAGCAGAATGAAGAACACCATGCAGAGGTGAGCAGCAATGCATTAAACATTTCTAAGCAGAGAGCAATTGGAGCAAGAGTGTTCCTGTGTGTATTTCTTTATACCAAATGGTGAACATTGAGCAAGGCAAAGCCACTGCTACCCCAAAGTAACACTAAATATCACTAAATATACTCTTGTAGAGAAAGACGTTTAAAGTATGTATTAAAGTGCTAAGAACATAATGTCACTTACATACAAGCTCAGTTCAACTGGATTTAATTAGAGCAGTTCCTGATGGATAGGAAGGACCCTCCAATCACCAGATTGTGTTTTCAGGGACTATTCCAATCTAATTTTTTTTTTGCAGAAGATTGCCTGTGAGGGATTCCATGTAAAAATGCTCTACCAGAATGCAAATCCATGTAAATTTTGTAAGAGACATCCAGAATCAGGAGATTATATCTCCCCCTTCTCCAGCTTCATGGTCCTGGTTTGCAAAATCCAAAGACGTTTTTATCCCAACAGAATGTGTTCTTGTTTGGATTACTCCAGTGGTAATCTTCAGCTTTGGAGTCTGCTTTCCATGAATAACCATACATATACTCATTTATTAGTGGTACTGACAGCAAGCTTTGGCCAAATGGTTTTAAACAGCTGTGTAACTACAAATTAAAATATAGCTAGTTAAGGGGAGAGTTATGATGTATCGAAGTTTTGTTGTGGGGAGATGCTTAAAGCCATATTATATGTACTGAAAAGCCCGTACTAGAACTTAACCAACTTCAGTTGACAACTAGTTGTTTATTTCAGGACAGGGTGAAGTTTCCCTCCTGGCCCTCATCACATCTTCCTTTCCAAAAAGAGTTGGAATTCAGGACCGTCATTTGGACAGGAGGTTCTTCCTACCATTTGAGGGAACACTACTTATACTTTATAAATACAAGTGCAAGTGTACAAGTTGGTCTAGTGTGTTCTTTACAATGGAAAAATGATGGCTAGGTTAACATTATCTTCCCAGGATGGTTTGTGTGATTTCCATAATGCACAGCAGTGATGTTGCCAGCACTCAGTCACTTCAGCTGCACCAACACAGTGGTAAAAAGGGGAAGGTATTACCTTGTAATAAATTGAACACCCATCCTAACATTCACCCTTGCCAGCTGGACATGTCTCCCCGGTTTCTGGAGGATTTCATTTATTCAGTCGAAAAAATGTGTGCCTTTTGAAGTGCACATCCAAATAGGAAACTTCTCTCCATGGACAAAAATATGAAACATTTTTTTAAATATTCACATTTTCCTAGCATGACTGCAGGCTCAGGAGAGTGCAAGCTTTTTCTGAAATCCGCACTCCCATTCTCATTTAAGGTTGCAACGTTTCATCAGATCAGAAGCCCTGTTAGAATTTAAGAGATTCATTCATTCCTATATGACATTCTGACCCACATGTGGTCACTGTGGGTTTCTCGTTCCATGGGGACAGGATTTACTCTCCCATGTAGAGGCTGTTGCATATATGAAATTAGTTCTATGTTCAATCATAGGCAATATGCTTTGAAAACATCAGTGACTTGCCAGAATAAATTATTATTTTAAAATTCTAATAAAATTTTTCTTGTTTATAACTTTCAATGCTGTAACATTAATTCCCTATTTTCTGCTTTCCTCCTCATTGACATTTCAATATTGCATTAAATACATTTTAACATAAATAATGTCACCATTAAAAATAAAACATAACTAAGATGTCTAATAAAAGCAAAGTAAAATTAATTTATTTCTAGAAAGCAGCAATCCACAAGTCCCAACTAATTCCTGATTGCATATTTAAATTTCCTCCCTGTTTTTCTACTGTTCATTCAATCTTGGATGATCCTGGCAGGGAAAAGAGGTATGTGGCTAAGCTGAATGAAACAAGTCACCTCCTGTCATATTTCGTGCATGTCCTCTCGGTGCCATGTTTCCTACTGGGATCTTCCCTGGGTCATCCTCGCTTTGTAACTTTGGATCCAAGGAATGTAACAGCAAGTTCAGACTGAACTGCTTGTGGAACTGTAGCCCTACATGGCAGGGCCGATGTGGGGGAAATTCTCCAGCCCGTGCATGTAGCAATGGATATATTTTTACAAGCACTGCAGTTACATCCCAACACTTGTCCTACCTGCCTGGGCTCTTTCCTCAGCCTGTTGTTTTCCCCTGTTGCTCAGTGTACACCTGATCTGTAGTTCACCTGCTGGTAATAGACAAGAGTGAGAAATGATTAGCTAGGAGGGCAGTACCCTTCCTCTGATTTTGTTCACTGTGTGTATTGTTCCAATATATACAATATTTATGTATGGAGAGAGATTATCTAGGATTGAGGAGTGAAGCAACATCTGTTTTCATGTTGTTCAGAAGTATTAGTATAGTCTAGAAAGGGGATAATTCTGTGAGCTGTAGTGACATGTCTAAGGAAAATGATGTTGTTTCCTACCTCGCTATCATGATTTATGAATATATCTCATACTATCTGAAAAACATATAATTATCTGATAACAAAGAAGCCAGGAGGCAAGTGGTTGTGACTTTAAAGCACAGGTTCCATAAGGGAGGCAGTTGATGACATGGAACAAGAGACAAACCTACCTGGAAACGCTAACACACCAGTACATGATCCCACTATTCTGACTGTACTGCAATCAAGTGGCAAGGAGTCATTGGGGAGCAGCGGCCAAACAGGGCCATAATGAAATAATAATGTATTAACCAGCCTTTAACAATTGATGCTAGGTATTTTGGCTCTTGAGGAAGCAAGGCCCAATTCATTTGATGGTCTGTGCTTCAAGAGGGTTGTGTAAAAATGTAAGTGTAGGGCAAGTGGCACAAGGCTGTTGGTGCCTTTTTCTCCATTTTGACGGATTTTGTACCTTTAGGAATGTCTCCCTGTTTTGTGTGACTTACTATAGGTAATTTTCAGTCTTAGAAGTGAATCATCAGCTTATTGATGATTAGTTTTGACAGGCAACTGAAAAGATCTAGAAAGCATAGGCAGTGGACATGCCTTTTAAAATTTCTTATAGCTATCATAACCATGCCAGAAGAGAAACAGCTATCTTGGGGAAACCATACTGGAAAACATTACCATGAACAAGCTTTTCTCCTAAGTAAATTCACAGGTGGTGCATTAACAATATATATATATATATATATATATATATATATATATATATATATATATAATATTTGCATACATAGCCCCATAGCCCATGAGGCTCTCTGGGCAGTTTACAGATAAAAAACCTATGACAAGAATAAAAGCACTGATTTAAACCAAGTATTTCGACATCTCCTGGTGATTAAATTAATACACGGCATAAAACAGTTCACATTAAAGCAATATTAATATAAATCTATGTATTAAAACATCTGGTGAATAAAAAGGCTATTGGTGAGCTGCAAAGAAAAAACAACAGAACAAGGAAGAGGCTGTTTATTATGTATGTACTCAGGTACCAAAGAAATGTGCAGTTGTTCCATGTAAATAAACAGGCTTTGAATCTGAATTGTTGAGGAAAGAATACCCCCACCCCTTTCATGCCACGTAAGAAGCTACTTTTGAAGCTGAGAAGAGTTTTAGAGTGAATTGGAGAGGTTAGCTATTAAATAAAATGATCCATTCAGAATGGAGACCACGAGGCCTGAAGTAGCTGTTCATATCCAAACGTGCTTTTGAGTCTATGCCACTTGTCTCAGAGTGTTTTTCCCTTTGCAAAATTACACAGTCAAACTAGTTTTCTAAGGCACTGGCTTTCAGTATTGCTGTTCTCTCTCCATATGTATATATGTATGAATATGTATATATGTATTTTAATTCCTTGAAGACATGCATATATACATGAGCTCCCATGGGTATGGTCAAACAAAGTCATAGATTTGGTGTTCTAGAGATGACTCTTCCTCCTCATGAAGATAACAAAGAAGGTAAGTAGATGGCAAGTGAACTTATTACTCTGTCGAATGCGATTGTTGGGTGACAACATGTTACTTCTCTCATTTTCAAGGAAGAAAAATGCAATCGTAGGGCAATAGCTTGGGCATGATTGAGCTTACTTATTAAATGGTAGCTGAATGCCACTTAAAAAAATGAAAAATACTGTTATTTGGAAATAACCACATTCCTAAAGCATGCTATTTTTTTCCGACTTACAGAAATAGGCTTTTAATTGACAGATTCTATAATAATTCTGTTGGCCTTTGGAGAAAACATTTTTGTGGTTCCCCAAGAATGGATTGATGTATTATTTATGAACAGAATTACTAAGAGGTTTCTTAAGCCTTGCCTATTCAGTTTAATTTACAAGGCAGCATTATTATAGTGCTTAGAATAAACACAATGATATAGTAATAAATGATAATAGTGATGATGTAAGCTGGTATAGCAGAGAGCTTTGAATACAGTGATCTTTATCCGTGAGGAGCTTTTCAGGATTGCTGCCCCTAGAAATTTCTCAGGGGCATCTGATTGAACATTTTGGATGGAACTTTGATCTGATCCAGCAGTGTTCTTCTGATGTTCATACTTAATTTATGTAGGTGCAACTGTTGTAGAACAAGATTTTCCACTTAAACTCTAGCTATGATGCAAAGGGACATAGCATAGGCGCAGTTATCCATGCTTCACTAACAATCTTGTCCAGTTAACTGCAATGCACTATACATAGGGCTGTCTTTGAAAAGGGCCTGGAAACGTCCAGCAGGTCCAAACTAGAAGGTTGTTAAGAGGGGGTGGTCTATATGAATATACTACATCAATGCTTTGTAAACTGCACCAGCTTCTATTCCATTTTTGGGCCCATTTCAAAGTGCTGGAATTAACTTTCAAAGCTCTAAATAGCTTGGGGCCAGGACCATCTTCTCCAATATTTAGCTCTCTGGACCCTAAGACTGTCCTCAGAGGCCTCCTCTGGGTCCTTCCACTAAATAAAATGAAGTAGATGACTAGAGAGGAGAGAGACCTTTCACTTGTGGTGCCCTGGTGGCGAAAGCCCTCCCCAGAAGAGTTCACCTGGCATCTACATTGTGGTCTTTTTGGTATTCTGTGAAGACTCTTTTTAATTCTCCAAGGCATTTTAAGTTATTCAGCTTTCATTGTTTTAAATCAGTTGTATTTTTAGATCTTTACATTGCTACTGATTTTTACTCTGGGTTATTGAAACTTTGAAAATTTATATATTATGTTTTATCATGCTAGTGTATTTTATGGTTTTACCTGTTGTAAACCACCCAGAGAGCTTTGGCTATTGGGCAGTATAGAAATGTAATAAATAACTAGTATATGGAAGGGGTACAGTATATAAAATATTAAAGTAATGCTAGGAGTAATAAGGTTCAAATGACCAAGCAATATAGACCATTAAAGCTAATATTTATGACATATTTCCATAGAACCATATAACTCTAGAAATCCCAAGGCACATGATTCTAACTCTTAAACTATGCCAATGTGTTCCTATTATTGATTCCTTAGTCCAGGTGTTAACAACCTGTAGTTCATGGGCCACACAGTCTTTCATGCTCTCCATGTGACCTGCATCCTGGGGGATCCCACCCATTTTTCCCAGCAGCCCAGCTTATCACCTGGCTTGCGCAGAAACGCCATCTTCCTCCCCCTCCCTCAGCCATCCCAAAGCAACCGGGATCCTCTGCTTCTAACGGTAGCCTAGAAGATTCGCTGCTTCTAAGGGCAGTGAGGAAGCAGCTGTCTCAGTTGGAGTTGGCACAGGGAAAGGTCCTTCCCCTCTCTCAGCCATACAGAAGCCACTCAGCGGGCCACCAGCCAACATCTTATGTGGCGCTCATTGTAAAAAAAAAGGTCACCTACTCAGGCCCTGGCAGCTGTCCACATGTAAGTTCCCTGTGCAAACCAAAGGGGCAAAAAGCAAGACCCAAAGTGCTTGACTGACGCATCAGATATACCAGCCCTCTTGTTTTACATATATAGTAGCATCCTCTGTTTGGGGTGGGCATGACTCCTGCCCGTGTTCCTTTCCTTCAGATGCAGAGGAAAGCTTTAGAAACAAAGTCCTTTAGCATTGCTCAGCAGGTTTACCAGCACATAATGCAAAAGAAAGGTGCCCGATGATTAGTGGGACATTGAAGTCCAGGCCCAATTTAAGGTGCTGTATTGCCCTATAAAGCCCTAAATGGCTTTGGACCAGGATACCTGAAGGAATGTCTTTTTCCCTATATGCCCTCCTGCCCCTTAAGATCTGCAGCAGAGGCCCTGCTCCGGGAACCCTCCTTGAAGATGGTTAGGAAAGTGAACACCCAGAGGAGGGCCTTCTCTGCAGTGGTGCCCTGGCTGTGGAATGTGCTCCCCAGAGAGGTCTGCCAGGTGCTGACGTTACATGCTTTTCAGCACCCAGTTAAAACCTTTTTATTTACTCAATATTTTAAAGTTTAAATATTTTAATCATGTTTTTTAACACCCTCAGTCATATTTTATCTTGCTATTGATTGTTGTATTTATTGGGTATTTATCACATTGTAAGCCGTCCAGGGACAACTGGTATAGGATAGTATAAAAATATCCTAAATAAATAAATATGAGTTTCTGCCCATGTGAAGATCTGGATCCAGATGGAAACACTTCACTCCTTCATTCCTTTTCTGAAAGGTCTTAACTCCAGCTTCACTGTGGCTCACACTGCCCAGGTGCCAGACAGTGGGATCACCTGTTTCTGCTTAATTGACCCATTTGTTTAGCATGTTGTCCTTTTACAGGCTCTTAAGTTTCTGCCTCTTCTTCCATCCCATTTCCCCACTGAACGTGTTTAACAGGTTAACCTGGATCTAACTTGCTATAAAACTTTCCAGTTGCAACAACTTTTTTTTTTTTAATGAAAGCAACAATTAAAGTCCCCAGCTAACTCAGAAATGCTTGGTAGAACAAAAAAGTCTTCACCTAATTCTGGGGGGAAAAAAAGACTGGAGAAGGACACACACACACACACACACACACACAGAGAGAGAGAGAGAGAGAGAGAGAGAGCGAGCGAGCGAGCGAGCGAGCGCGAGCGCACTTCCTGCAGCTCAGCTTTTGGGCCACCACAGAAAAGGCACCAGTCCTACTGAATTACAATATTACCCCTCCGGAACATGGAACAGTGCTTCATTGGTAGATCTTAACATGGTAGCAGCTCTTTAATTAAATATACTTAGCCCTTTTCTCCTTTCAAGTCTAACATTCTCTCCCTTTTGAGGAATATTAATAACATATATAAACAGTGAGCTGTTGGCTACTTTCCATATTGCCTAATAGCAACTGCACAAAATCCTGTTGACGATGCCACTCATGCTGCATGTTCCTAAGCCAGCAGTGATTCTAAACACGCGTGCATGTGTCCCAGACGCATTCACATCTGAGTCATGTATGATGTGAATGTCACTTCAGAGAAGCTGTACAGTGAATTCTTAAGGACCCATGCGCATGACAATGAGTTACTTCACTGATATTTCTTGGTTTTCAACTTTAGATTTACTTCCTGTTGCCATTGCGGCCTGACTTGATTGTGGGTAGTTTCTAACGCTTTCATTCTAAAATTGGATTTTTCTTTTCAATTTAGTGGAGCAACTTTAAGAATTAAATGTGTACAATTAAGGTAGTTTATTTTTTATCCACTGGCTGACTTTGAATTTTAAATGTGGAATACTTAAGGGCCACTAAATCCCCATGCCAGGGCTATTTGCACATTATGATAATCATCCTAGATAAATTGTTCAAGGCTTTGTGGGAAAGAAAAGCAGAAAACCTGCAAACACAGTGAAGAAACTCCCAGATGTTCTATATTTTAGACAAAGAATCAGTTAACCCCTCTAGCATACAGCATGATCCAGAAGGAATTAAGCGGGTTATTATAAACGGAACAGACACACCTCCTCCGTTGCATGACAGATATGCAGAGCAACACGGCTCTGATTCCACATGCCTTGTGACGTTCCTGGCTAAAAGCTGCAGGTGCTTAATGGATGCAGTTTGTACCATACCTGCAGAGTGTGTGGCTGTTCTCTTTACAATAAAGCTATTTCTCTACAGGATGTTCACTAGGGGTTTTTTGAAAAAAATGCCTATTGAACACAGTTGGCATTTAATGTGGCTTAGGATAACACTAACGCTTTTTCCTCACTTTTTTTCCTACTGCATTTAAAGGCCTTTGCTTGGTGGTCAGATTTAATGGTTGAACATGCGGAAACCTTCCTCTCATTGTTTGCGGTAGATATGGATGCAGCTCTAGAGGTCCAGCCCCCAGATTCCTGGGACAGCTTTCCACTCTTTCAGCTTCTAAATGATTCCCTTCGTAGTGACTGTATGTATTGTATTTTACCCATTTAACATTGTTTCTCTGGTAGGGCAAACACATTGGTTTAATGCCTGTAGTATTCACTGTTTTCCTGATCCTTGGTGGAAGATTAGTGGTACATAAAGAGGTTCAAGAAAAAAATACATAAGTAAACCTAAGTCTGTTTGAGAAGAGTTTGGGCATGTATAGAAAGATGGTATTTTTTAAAAAGGTCCAGGGAAAGCCCTAGTCTCTATAGTGTCCTAAGCTCTCCAAAAATATCCTTGCCCAGATATATTCCATTTATATATAATTAAAATATATGTGTATATCAGTTGTCTCAGAAGCAAAACTATAACAAAAGCAACAAGATTATTACTCTTGGAAATTATCTGAGAAGCAACATTGGCTTTTTTGTTTTGAACTCTGGTATTAGTGGGAGCTTTTAAAAAGTGTTGTTGGATTAAATTGGAGTTTTATGCAAATAAATATAACTAGGGCCATACAGAATGGAATGGGTTTACTCTGGAAAGCCCCATTAAATGTGCTCTGGCATGTATGCATATCAACTCTGATGGTTCCCCCCATCCCCACCCCCCTGTTCTTGAAAATTCCCAAAATGAAAGGCATAATTCTTGTCATATATATGAATTATTGCACTATTCTTGGTCACAATCCAAGGAAATGATATGCATTTGCAACAAGAGGGTCTCCAATATTTCCATGTCAACGGCTCATGCTGAAATGGAAAGAATCCATATCATATATACAGCATCAGTCTAAATCAGGTCCTATTAATTTCAATAAGTAGGATTATCATTGGATACAGTCACATTTTTATAGAAAGGCAGCTTTTCTTCATCAACAGCATTAATAGAAACTTCACAGGAAGAATATGCAGAGGTTTTCTTTGCATGTGCATATGTTTTATTTATGACTATAATATCCCACTCCATCTTTCTCATGGCAGTTAACCAGACTCTCTTTCTACCAGTGAGCCCACTGATGGATCAGAACTGTCTGGATTGTGGGAGCTTGCAGGCAGTGGGTGTTGCGCATAGCGTGCCAGAAGATGTAATTGTTGTTGTGCGAGGACTGACAAGTGAATCCAAAACAAAGACAAATGTCCAAGAAAAATCTGGGTCTGTACTGAAGGAATTTCATGATGGCCTGCATTTAAAAAAATGTTTTGCATAAGGCCATGTCTATATTACGAATCCCAGTCAATTTAAGGCTGCAATCCTAAACACGCTTGCTAGGGACTGTCCAAGCACACAGCATAGGATTGTGATGCACATATTACAGCAACCCTAGGATATAAATCGAAAAATAAATAAATAGAAATAAATAATACAAGGACTTCTGGCACTTACGTTTATAAAGTTCTGAAGACAGAGATTTTTAACAATATTTTGCATGCACATCTAAAACTGCAATTATCAGGGTACTCTCAGTATTCAAACTGTCTGAAACCAATTTTCCTCTGCAGTATGTGTTTGTTCTTTTAGTCCATAGATTTAGAATGCAATCCTTTACATGGCTGCTAGGAGAAACTTCAATTAATTCAGCAACACTTACTCCCAAGTGCACATATATAGGATTGCAACCTTAAAGTAATCACACATTTTAAAAGCACTAGTTACACTAGCTATCAAAGTTATGATGTACACCAAAGCATTTTCACTATTTTCATAACCAAAAAATGGTAATGTAGCTGTGTTGCCACTAATAGATAAGATTGCATCGTTTCCTTGTTTCAGTTAATGCAGTTAGTCTGCAGTTAGCTTACTTATAGAATCACAGAAATTACTGAAATTCCTCTGCAATTAATTACCAAAACTTTTCATTGGGCACTGTTTTGCCAGTTGAGTTGTTTTGCTCCAAGTTTCTATGAAAAGATACAAGCTGTGTAATAAAAATGACTGGTTTGGGTTAACTGTGAAAAATGTCTTACTATACTTTTATTTATTCATTCTAGATAATTTGTGCAATGGAAAATACCACAAACATCTTCAAGACTTGTTTGCTCCGCTTGTTGTTAGATATGTCGATCTCATGGAGTCCTCAATTGCACAATCAATTCACAGGGGCTTTGAGCGGGAGTCATGGGAACCAGTAAAGTAAGGAAATCTCCTTTGATACATTGGAGTTTTCGGGTACAAGAGGACTCATGCGCAGATAAATTAGTCAAATGTTAGACGCTCTGTGGATATTTTCTGGTATTGTGCTAAAATTTTAAGAACTTTTTCAAATTCAGAGGTTTTATGAAAAAGATAAGAGATGAATTGTTGTATGTTATACATTGTTCGCATCACTTCAGATGAATTACATTCAAGAATGTAGACACAGAAGACGATATCAGTTCTTTCCTTTCAGTTCTTTATAGCCCCAAATACATACCACATAATCAGAGTACTGAACCAGCTGCCAGGTGAGATGTCATATTTTTTACTAAGCCATTCTAATAAATTGCAAACCAGGATAGGAAAAAACAATTCATATGTCAACTAGTGGTGTGCCTTATTTCCACATCACTCAAGTCATGTCTGGACCTCCTAGAACCTAGAAAAACAACACATTTTGCCCTACATGGTGAGTTGGTAAGTGATAACAATTTCCTTTGCTATGGTCAGATGAAAACTGATGAAGTAACTTGGGGTTAAAAAAAAAAAAAAAACTGTCCCCAGAGCCTGTTGGCCATCTTTTGATGGAGCTCCAAGGAGTGGCCAGTGACACAGGTCAACCAGTCCAGCAGGTTGTAAGTCTCTGCCTGCAGGCAGTGATGATACTTGGGCAGCATTAAGACAAAGCCACTGGGAAGCAGCCGCAGAGCCAATGCGAAGAATGAATGAGTCAGCCCTCTTTTAAGCCCAAGTCCAGGTACTCAGAAAAAGGGCTTTGTGAATCTCAGTCTAATGGTCCTAACCTACAAAGGCTTTTCTGAACGTACTCCACATCCAAGGACGGAGCTTTTAAAACTTTCCCTTTCAGTTACTCGGTTCCTGAAATCCTCCCACTTATGGAGGTCAAAAAAGGAGGGGGAGAAGCCTCCATGGACACCAATAAAAGGTTTTTCCTTTTCTTTTTTTCAACCCTCACATCAGGAGCTGAGGGCAAAGTTTTAAATCTTCCCTCCTGGTGTTCTCTTGGAGCTACACTTACTGACTCTAGAGCAAGAAACAAAATGGGAGCCAGCATATGAGTCATTCAACAGACTGTGTAGTTTGACCCATAAGCAGCTTTTCTTTCCCCAAGAGGAAGTGTGCCTTTTCCATATTCAGTCAGATCTTATACCTAGAGAGAGATACAAATGCATGTATAATCCTCAGTCAAAGTATGGTGGCATGTAAAAAGCGCATAAATGGTGTGAATTGATACTGGGTTTTGTACTGGGAAGCAATTTCTTCTCTTAACCTACTGTTAACAAGAAGCAAGAAGAAAGGCCTAAGGATGTAAGTATATGTTATATCCCAAGGCACATGATAAAAAAACCGCAATGGTCACCTCCACTTTTTTCCTACACAAGCTCCCTTGCTTATAAGACTCTTTGTTGGTAATGATTTATGACTATTGAGCAGTACCTCCTGTTTCTGCCTGAGCTGAATTTCTGGTATATCACAATAACTGGGTCTAGGCATGAACCATTGATTCCAGTGGCAGTCATGTGCAAATAACTGGAGTACTATTGTAATATTCTAAGTTATATAAATGACTTCTTGGAAAAATACATCTAAAAATGTCCTTTAGGCCAAACATGGGCACAGTCCAGATACGGTCTTAAGGGTATTTTTGAGCCATTAAAATCTACAGGAATCAGAAGTGCTTAACAGGATCATACTAAATTGTCTTTTTATTGTTTCTATGCACTGTATATTCCAATAGTTTGTCCACCTAGCTAAATTGCCACATTGGATTTGCACTGAAGGGTATATATCACTTTTGATTTGCAAATGGAAATCAAAGTTCTTGAAAACTTAGTGGAATGTTCAGTATCTTGGCGCAAAGATAAAACCTGATCCAAGCATGGACTATTGCTTGCTGGGAAGAATAGTGTCAACAAGTGGAAAGCACTGGAAGTTAACAACCCTGCTGGTTGTGTGAGCGAGCTGATAGTTATATTTACAGACATTGCTAAATCTCTTCAACTGCTTTGCAGTCCCTTATCTTTCCAAAATCATAATATTGTTTGGAAACTATTTTACAGCTTTGCAGAGATATCAAACAGGTAAATGTGCATTTATTCCAGATAAGTCCATGGGAACTCTTAGTTGTCATCATTACTGCATGAAATATTCAGGGAAAAGCTACAATACACACCATTGGCCTAACTATACCAAAAAGGGAAGAAAATGATACTGTTGCTTGAGTTGGCAGTATTTCTAGGGGCCCAGCATCCAATCCAAAAATTGCAGATCTTTTTAATTGTCACTAAGGGCAAGCCCTTGGATTGCGCTCATCCTTGCACCACCCAGTAGTCATGTCCTGGCATCATCTGCTACCGTGCATGTAAATCTGGTGCCAACTTCTCATATTTTGCATGCAGACACTGGGGTCTTTTTTCAGTGGCTGTTTCGAGGCCATTTGCTCTGGCTTCGCCCCACAAGGGGCTCAGAGTGTTATACTCCAGCAAACAGTGGTTCCGTTTGGTGTCTTATTGAGAGTTCCATCCTATAGTAGTACTACTTCTACTTCTTCTAGACTAACATTGAAGGCAACCCAAGCAATCATCTTATCTCACAGCAGGGTCCTCTCAGTTGCCCTTCAAAGACTTTCTGATCATGATGGCCTTCCACTTCCTTCAGGATCGAGAGCGGCACACCTCTGCATACTAGTTGCTGAGGAGCAAGAGGGAAAGAGAGCTACTGCATGCTTGTCTTGTTTTCAGACTTCCCACCAGCATCTGGTTGGCCACTGTGGGTAACAGGATGCCGGCCTTTGTAGTCTTTTGTCTAAACGAGCCTAATGCAGCCAATGTCACAGTACTGGCGTACGCGACTTCTAGTGCAACACTGTTGGCATTAGGCTAGAGGTTGCTTGCAACAGTGCAGCACTGGTGGCAGAAGCAGAGTGGGCGAGTCTGATACTGCTCCATGCCTCTCATTTCAATAGAAATAGAGTATACCTCACACGGGTGAGATGACCAGGCACTCTTCATGATATGCTTACTCAGTCAGCTGTCCCGATGCAAGTGGCTGACAGACGCTGCTCTTCCTTCTTATATTTTTTTTTTATTTTTGAACTGGACCTGGACCTCCCTTTAAATGAAGGACTGTCCTCTGCAAAATTGGACAGCTGGCCACCCAGCAGGATAGATCAGCCTTTAGGAGTCTGCCCACGGTCTAGCATTATATTATCTCTTTGTGTTGGAGAGAAGGAGCTTTATTTCTTGCAGTGTCAATCACACCTAGCAGCGAGTCAAAGCCTCAGAACTGGGTTGCTAAACATAGTGGGACTCTGAATGATGCTGGAAGGTGAGCCTTCTTAGCACATGATCATTGGAGGACTGACCGCTATGTTAATAAAGTGTAAGGCAACATTGGTAAATATTTAATCTCTTTCCTTTGGAGAGAGCTGAGGAAGGACTTTCCAGTTTGCCCAGAGAGGGAAAGCAGGGTAAGCACAAGTCTCATTGAGCTTTCTGTTCCTTAATCATTAAGTCAAATCACGTGAATGGAACCTTACTATCTTGTACGGACGAGGAACGTCTATCACAACACAGAATCTTTAAAACAGACTGTGCAACACACCTGCCTGCAAAGTAAAGTTGAAATGTGTGGCAAAGATGTCCTGTAGGTTGATAAATAGATGCTGTCCAGTGATTTAGAAAGAATCTGAGCCATTTATGCAGCTAAGTTTTGTAACCATCAAAGATTTCCTGACATGCTGTATAAATATATCCTTTTTTTCTTTCCTCCTTTGGTTTTTTACTTTGCTTTATTTCATTTTGGTTTTTTGTGTTCACTCTGCAATAGCTGCAAAACCCACCAAGATGAGTTAACTTGTTCTTTAAAAGGTTGCACAGCTGGTAAGTGTGGGCAAAATTGTGCAGGGAAAATGAATCAAAGCAAGAAAGCAGCCCTAACACAATTTTTCAAAACACTGAATATGCAAGTAAAATCTGTTCCCAGACTGATTTAATATACAGTCGCATGAGGTGAGGGATCGTGCCGGCATCGCCATTGCACTAGTCACGCAATAAGCCCCAAAGGACGCCATAGCCAGCCTCATTTCAATGCACTGTGGAGCGTGATCGGCAGAGCTCTTGAGTGAGAGCGTCACATCAATCGAAACGTCAGAGAAACGTCAGTGTATCCTTCCTAGGCAATCACTTACGAAAAATAAATTTTTTCCTCTACTTGTTCGCAAAGCATCTTCAGCACTACTGCACTCTGACGTGATTTAATGCATTTTTTTCACAGAAAGATGCAGAGTTACAACTACCATGGAAATATACAATGAGGAGGTTTTAAGCCTGTGTAAGAAATGGGCTTTAGTTGGCAACTGTCTGGCCACTTGTGGGACTGGATGGTGGGTTGGGAGCACATCTACACACACTTGACCCCACTTAGGGATTGTTGGAGAAGAGAGGTGAAAACCTCTGTCCCGCCAGAAGTCCCATCTGCTCCACGATGGAGGGGGAAGCCATTGCTGAGTGATTGTGATTGCAAACTTCACTGTGATTGCAGTTTCCCCACCACTAACAGGGACCTTGGTTGCCTGGAGATTGCTGGACAGTAGGAGAGGTGAGTACCCTCTCCCATGCTACCACACACAGTGACCCAGATGAGATTGCTGTCCCCACACCACTAATTTCAGTGCTGGAGCAGCCGTCTTCTCCTCACAGCTCAGCTGCTGCATGACCAGATGGACTGCACAGTAAAGAGGTTAACTGGCATCACTGGCTGCATAGACAGTAGTGGAGAATTGCCCACGTGTGTTTCCATATAGGCCCACAGAAACAGCCTCGCCGCTGCTATTCAGGTTGCAGATTGCCAAATGTTAATTAGGAATGATCAGGCAGAAAATTGGCATCCCAGCTCAATCAAGTATTAGGATGCAGAGCCCTGATACTGAAACCTTTGTTCAGCAAGCTTAAAACCAGTGACTTACTGAACTAGCT